AGTCCTAAAGGTACCTTTTTTCTAATTTAGTCTAATCTAAAGTTTAAAAACTTTCTATAACTTTCTATAATAGTCTCTCAAATTTCAAAAGGTTTTTTTTTTCTGGAATAAGTTCTATATTCCATTCTTATTATTAAATTTTTAGTACTGAGAAATTAATAAAATAGTGATATGATTTCTTATATTGTTGATTAACTCTTTTTTTTTAAGACTAAAATATAACTATGAAGGTAAACTTTATAAGTCAAAGCTAAATTTTTAGTACTATTTCTAATAATTTACTTTTATTTTAATTTAAATGGTGGCCTCATTTCTTAGAATATTTGCAAGTGTTAAAAAGTAATATACAAATATATAAGACTTGTAAATAATCGATTAGTTTAAATAATAATTATTATAATATTTTTATTTTATGTGATATAACCTAAATTGATGATTATCTAGAAGATATTAGCTGTAATCATAATAATGATTTTTTAGTACTAATAATTGATGAGTAACCAACATATTAACGTAATAACTAAATTATTAATTTTTATTTTCGTTATATTTATAATTATTTTGTTAATAAATGTTTTTATAATATTTTATTTAAAATTTAATTTGCAAATAATTATGAATGACAAAATTAGATTGATATTGCGACAAGAAGCCAAGCATAAATGAAGAATATATTTTATTTATATATATATTTCAATTCTTTATTGAAGCATATTCATATACTCAATTTTATTTGACTTCTTTAATTATATTAAAAAAATACTCTTTTTAATTATTAATAATTTATTCCATATTATGATGCCCTAAAAAGTCATGTTAATAATTGATAGATGATGAGGCCTAAAATGAAACTTTGGCATCCTTGATAGTGACAATAGGAAGGGAATATAATCTACTTAACTAAAATTAAGAATAATTTAAAATGATGAATTTGTACTCTTTGAGTGTGATTGAGACAATAACGGGTCTATATAGTTTTGAAAATATATGACACATTTTAATTAAGTGAAAGTTTAAAGCATTAATTATATTATGTACACATTAGAATATGGAATAAAGTTGGTATTCTCAAATTTTTTTAATAGATTTTTTTGAATTTTTTTATGAGATCATTCGAGCTCATGACCTTTCGGTCAAAGATAGGTGTCTTAACCACTTGAGCTACGTTCGGTTTGATTTTTTAGAATTTTTTTTAATTGTATAATTACAAAGACAGTAATAAATATCTTATCGGCTAAACTATATCTTATTTTGGAAAAATTATTTTTATAGTTATTTTGCCTTGTTTTCTTTTTTCTTTTCTTATTTTGTAAAAGTGGAAAAAAAAAAGCTTCTTTTTGCTTGTTTGGTCTAATAAATATGGGTGGGTCCCACATTAATTACATTTTGAATGCTTCTTCTCCTCATTCAGGTAACTGAAACAAAAATTCAAAATTTAGGATGAGCCCAAAAATTGGAAGATTATGAAATTTGGAGTGTTTTATTATATTATATGACAAGTTTCTTGGAATTAGTTACATAATAAAGCAAACAAAAACTCTCTCATGCATGCGGCCGTTACAGATAAAAAATGACTAACGTCTTGGGTTCATGCGAACCAATTAATTTGACCATCGATTTCCGTTATCATTTACCATTTGACTTCACACAGTCATTTCGATGTCCTAATTAAAATGACATTTATTCATCTGCCATGATACAGACACCTCGCCCAAAATAAGTCCAGATACATATTTTCTCTCTTAATATTTGGTAATTTTTTAGATTAATCTCAATACGATTTTAAAATTTTCAATTTCATTTTTAATATTTTAGAAGACATGTGGAAATCCTTTTGCAATTCTTCTATCACCTTCGAAACCAGAAAATCCATATATGGGTGAGAAGTATTAAATGTAATTAGTAGACTAAATTAGTTTATAACCCATGAAAATCAAATGTTTAAGTATAAAATAATGGTTACTAAAACACAATAAACATAGTTTTCAAAAAACCAATTTGCATATTTTTCCTTAATCATTCCCAACAATATTTAGTTAAAAAATAAATATGTATATATTTTTTTTAATACATCACGTATGGAGAGGATTGAACTCACAATTTTTTAGTTAAAAATATATGTCAATTACTGCTTACGTTTGTTTTGACAAATACGTGTAATTGTGTAGTTTTGTTTTGTTTTTCAAAGAATAAAATTATGTAGGTTTTTTTTTTTCAAAAAAAGACAGATCATGTAGTCATGGTCGTCATTACTGACGCTTTAAGCATTAAGATAAAGATGATGAAGAGTCAACCTCACAAGTCTACTTCTATTTTTTTTATTATCGCAGGCTTGTTCGCACTCGATTCCCACTCCTCCCCCCTAATTCCTTTCCATTTCTAGCTAATAACAAATTAACAATCGCCTTCACTTTAATTATAAAAGAAGTGTTTATAATTTATATATTATTTTGCTTTTGATATCCAATATTTTTCAAACTAGTTAATTGCATGCACATTGTTATATATGTAACATCAACTATATAGAGATTTAATGATCAAAGTCAAAATTATATGTAGCTTTAAAATAAAAATAAAATCAAGAGACTAAGCTAGAGACATCTTAATAACAATTGAAAAAATAAAAAGAAGAAAAGAAATATACGCAACTTAAATCATGCGTGAGAAGTGGTTAACATCATGGACACAGATAAATACTAACAGTGATATGGAAAGTAAAATCATTTTTATTTGTGATTTTTTAACACGTTGAAAATATTGATAAAATTTAACCCGTTGAATTTGAGGATTATATTGTTTTTTTTCTTTTTTTAATGTTGGTTACTTTTGTACCACCGAGATGAACCAAAAGTTTGGCCACCAACCACTGTTTTTCTGTGGCCCTCTCTCATATAAAACTTTCAAAAAAAGTGAAAATTCTTTCCCATCAATTGCCTCTTCTGTCTCAATTTGCCTCAATGATCTTTGAATGACATATGAGATTGGGAACATAATACAACATAAATGAGATTTGAATCATAATATAAGTTCAAGGTTTTTTTTTTCAAGCTAAATATTAATGAAAAAAACTTGTCAGTGATGGTTCAAATAAAAAAAATCCAAGAACTCAGAAAAATAAATAATAAAGAGATTCAATATATTTAAACTTAATTAGCAATAACTTGATTTATTGGGCTATAGAGTACTAAATTAAAGTGGGTTTTGATAACATTCTTCATTTTTGAAAATTTTTAACTTTTTAAAATGTATACTCTTTTTACTAATTTTTTTGGTTTGGCTATTTACTTTTCAAGATTGTTGTTGTCTTTCTCTCATCAATTAGTACTAGTTAAAGAAATAAAAATTCCCACATTTTTTTTATGGAAAATGCGGAAAAAAGAGAGATACCGTTTGTAAAAAAAAAAAAAACCATATTCTTCAATTTGGAAGGTTAATCAATTTTCATTGGAAAAAAAAAATCAATGATGAAATGAAAAGTTCATAGATAAAAGTTGACTAATATTGTCAAATTCAAATATAATGATAAAAAAGAATTGAAACTTTCTATTTAAACGATATTTTAATTTTTTTTTGTTTTTTTTATTATAAAATAAGAATAAATTTTGTTTTTTTTTTCTAGTAACATAGAAGAATTACATGTTAGAAGTTCGAACTCGATGTTTTGCTTTATTTTATTTATGAAATTGAGCATGTATTTTGGAAATATTTTTAAAAAGAAAAAAACTTCTGATAGATAGTCATCATAGTTGTAACTATTATTGCAGAGCTGTTAAAACTTTTTGTGAAGTTAAAAGTTTAAACAATTAAAAGAATATATACTAAAAAAAACAATTAAAAGAATATAAACAAAACAGGTTTAGTTGTGATAATGTTCACGAAACCAATCTTAAAAAGAAAAAAAAAATTGTTCCCGGAGCCAATTTTGTGCTATTATTTTGAAAAACAATTATCGAAAATAGCATATAAAGGTTAATATTATTATTATACTAAAAATGGATTCACAAATCTATGCTTTTATAGAGAGAACAACTCCAATATTATTACTAATATTTATTTAGCTCAACGGTAATTAATATTTGTCTCGAATTAAGAAGTCATAATTGGAATAACACAAGTGAAATGGGACTATATTAAAAATTTCAATGTTAGGCTGAAAATTAAGACATCTCTGCCAAGAAATTAAAAGAAAAATACCTTAAAAAACAACTATTCATGTTTTTTCATTAAAAAAAAAAAACTTTTTCTAACCCACTCCAGAACATCTTTTTTGAAAGATTTAAAAGCTAAATTTTTGGTTGTCTTTAACGTTTTAACATATTTTACTAATTCCTCCACTGCACTCCGAAAAAAATTGCTTATTTATCTTAAATAGTTCAAGTTGGCGTGAGAATTAGAACATTCAAGGATATATATTCTAATTTAATTTTTTTATAGTATATTTAATTAAACTAAATTGATTAGTAATTCGCTACAATTAAATAACGACACCGTGGAACCAGACCATATTTTATCTTAAAATTAATTTAAACAGAGACATGGAATATAAATAAATAATCTATACATTTACAGCCAACTTAATTAACCACACTTCAATTCGAGGATAAGTAACTTTTTTAGGTACACTCCACAGTCCACCCAATCGTCAAGTGAACCAAAAAAAAGAATATTTACAAATTAAAATTACATTTAAAAGGAAATCCAAAAAGTTAATTAAAGCATTAAAAAAAAAGGAAATAAAAAAAAAGAAACTTTCACAAAGTAATTTAAAAGAAAGAAAAAAAAAGAGATTGAGAAAGTGACAGTGACAAACAAAGCTGGTAGTGACCTATATATACAGGAGCTCCCTGGTGTTCCCCATTTGTTCCTTGCAACAAGTAATTAATTCCAAGGCCACCGCTTCAGTTCCCCTGGCCGTGTTTCTGTTTGGATTCCGAGAAAGAGTGGGAAAGTGAGAAAGAAAACAAAAGGGAACAACGACGATGGGGAAAGAAAATGGAGATCAGATGCCCCGAGGATCAGGAAAGAAGAAGATGAAGAGGAGCGGGTGGTCGATAACGTCGATTTTCATGCACGCCGACGCCGTGGACAAGTTTCTGATGGCGTTGGGGTTCATCGGAGCCATGGGCGACGGCCTCACCACCCCCTTGGTTTTAGTCGTCTCCAGCCGTTTGATGAACAACATCGGCTTCGCCTCTTCTTCAGATCCTTCCGATATTAGCCACTCTTTCCAAACCAACATCGATAAGGTAATTAACTTTTAACTGTTGAAAGGAAAAGAAAATCCATTTTATTTTATTGGGTCAGGCCCACAGGGCGGTTATTTTATTAACACAATTTTGGATTTGATTTTTGTGGGCGACAGAATGCAGTGGCTCTCTTGTATGTAGCTTGTGGGGGCTTTCTTGCCTGTTTTCTCGGTGGGTTTGGAAAAAACTTTTGTTTTGTTTTTCTTTTTCTGGATTAAAGGTGGTTGAATTGATCTGATCTCTTGTTGGGATATTTTACAGAAGGATACTGCTGGACCAGGACTGGCGAGAGGCAGTCGGCGAGGATGAGAGCTCGATATCTCCGGGCGGTTCTCCGACAAGAAGTCGGTTATTTCGATCTCCACGTGACAAGCACGTCTGAGGTCATTACTTCTGTCTCCAATGACAGTTTGGTCATTCAAGACGTTTTTAGCGAAAAGGTAAAGTTTTTTCCTCTTTTTTTTTTGTCACAAACCATAATAGCCAATTTCGCATTAATTTTTATTTCTTGTCTCGAAAATTGAAAATTAATATAGATCCCGAACTTCCTTATGAATGCGGCAATGTTCGTGGGGAGCTACATCGCGGCGGTGGTGCTATTCTGGAGACTAGCGTTGGTGGGATTCCCGTTCGTGGTGATTTTGGTGATCCCCGGCCTCCTCTACGGCAAAACCTTGATGGGGTTATCGAGAGAGAGCATGGAAGGTTACAAGAAGGCTGGAACAGTGGCGGAGCAGGCGATATCGTCGATCAGAACCGTGTACGCCTTCGCCGGAGAGGACAAGACGGTGACGGAATATTCGTCGGCGTTGGAACGGTCGGTGAAGCTGGGGCTGAAGCAGGGATTCTCCAAAGGCTTGGCCATCGGAAGCAGCGGAGTTTCGTTCGTGATTTGGTCGTTCATGTCGTGGTACGGAAGTAGAATGGTCATGTACCAAGGTGCCCAAGGTGGGACCGTCTTCGGCGTCGGAGCTTCCATTACCGTCGGTGGATTGTAAGTTTCTTCCTCCTTAAACGAAGGATTACATCTCCATTACTGTTTAGTATGAAAATGGTTTCATTTTAAATATTCATTTCTAACAGAGAAGTAATGTTTAATTAATGTAATAATTATCAATCTATTGATTAAGTTTTCACACAGATATGATCTGAGGATAACAAGAACATTAGCATACCTTACCATATCAGGCTATATTTAGGATTAAAAAAATACTGCTTCAAAGTCAAAATAAAATGATTAATCTAAAAACTAATAATTTTATATATAAGCAATGGCGGACCACATAGATTCTCCTCCCTCTAATAATATTGAATATATTAATAATATTTATCTATTAGCCTATTCCTTCCCACTATTAAAGATTTGATAGTTATTTTTTTCTTCAAGAAGAGAGACGAGATTTCTTCGCCATCTTTTTCTACGTTATTTTATACTTATCAAAAACATAATGATAGACTATTTGCAGTTTAAAATAATTAATTGTTAAAATTTTAATGATGGTCAGTTAAACATGAAAACTAAAGGAAAATTTCTGGTACTTTAGAGTATATATATATATTTTTTATTCATTACTTGATATTAAAAACGATTTTAATATGTGAGGTTGAGTAATATTTGTAAAATTGTAGTGAGAACTCAAGGGAGTATGACATGGTGTTTCTAGGTTTGTTTTTCTCCCTAAGTTCCTACTTATTTTTCTTCTTAATACATGGAGAATATTTCTATTGCTATAGAAAAGTATATACCCAATATCTTTTAATAAATAATTTATTTAAAGCTGGTGACCCCCATTATTTTTATTATAGTTCAAACAAAGGGTGGGTCAAATATTAAGATGTTGATTCAATTATTTTTTATTAACCAATTCTGAAAAACTAATCTTAATAAATTTATAATAATTGGGGTCAAATAGGACATGAACAGCCTTTCGAATTGAAAAAAGCAACCAAACCGCCCACTAATGGAAGATAGGGTTTTGGCTTTTAATATTTGTTGAAATTGACAGATCTATTGGCTCGGGTTTATCCAACCTAAAGTACTTTTCGGAGGCATGTGCTGCTGGGGAGCGAATCATGGAGGTCATAAATCGGGTACCGGTGATCGACTCGGCGGACATGGAAGGCCAGGTTCTGGACAACGTCTCCGGCGAGGTTGAATTCCAGAACGTGCAGTTCGCGTACCCATCGCGGCCGGAAACCATGGTGTTGAAGGATCTGACCCTGAGAATCCCGGCGGGGCGGACTGTGGCGCTTGTCGGCGGGAGCGGGTCTGGAAAGTCGACGGTGGTTTCTCTGCTACAGAGATTTTACGACCCAATTGGAGGGACCATCCTAGTGGACGGCGTGGGCGTTGAGAAGCTGCAACTGAAATGGCTAAGGTCGCAGATGGGTCTGGTGAGTCAAGAGCCGGCGCTTTTCGCGACCTCCATTAAAGAGAATATTCTTTTTGGGAAGGAGGATGCCACCATGGACGAAGTGGTGGATGTCGCTAAAGCTTCCAATGCTCATAATTTTATTTCTCAATTTCCAAAAGGATACGAAACCCAGGTAATTAATAATAATTTCAATCCCTTTATCAAACTACATTTAGAATTATTGGAATCAACTCTGATGTTGGAAATATGATTTACTTTATTTCACTCTAAATTAGTGGGTCCAGTTAGATTTTTAACTCGAGAGTCATACATTTTCTATTCGATTTTAAAGAGTTATAGAATAAGAACTCTGAATTAAATTTTTTTCAAAACCTGACGCATGAATTATTTTTTTACTCAGTAAGATATTTAATTGGTTTTAGAAAGTAGATTTTGAATGAATTGTCTTTAGAAAAAAAAAAGGTAGTTTTTGAATGAATTATGTTTTTAGAAAAATTATTCACTCATGAAATAATGACAATGATTCTTTTCTAAAAGGAGAGGTGATTCGACTCGAGTCCTATATTAAACATCTTTTTTTTTTTTTGTTCCTTTATTTCCTCCAATTGACAAAGCTAATGAAAAAGAAAAAGAAAAACAAAAACTAATCATAGTTCCTAATCTATAATTTTTTTTTTTTTTTGTAAAGATAAGAAAATGTCAATTTCAACCCACCATCTTTTTCTTTACCTTCCACTTTTCTCATTATTCTTTTCATGTATTCTATTCCAATTTAAGTGTACCATTATCATCCATATTAGCAAAGGATACAAATCACGAATTCAAAACCCTTCTTATTTAGGTTTTGTTTAAAAAATTTTTCTAATCAAACAATTTTGATTATTTATTTTAAGTACTTCAAAGTTTTAATTCCACCACATTAATAAAAAAAAATTCTTAAATTTGAAATAGGTGGGAGAAAGAGGAGTTCAAATGTCAGGAGGACAAAAACAAAGAATTGCAATTGCGCGAGCCATCATCAAGAGACCTCGAATCCTTCTCTTAGACGAGGCTACCAGTGCGTTGGACTCAGAATCGGAACGGATCGTCCAAGAAGCCCTTGATAAAGCCGCTGTCGGTCGAACCACCATCATCATAGCCCACCGCCTCTCCACGGTTCGCAACGCTGACATCATCGCTGTGCTTCAAAACGGCCACGTCATGGAAATGGGCCCACACGACAAGCTCATCCAGCACGAAAACGGCCTCTACACCTCCCTTGTCCGCCTCCAACAAATGGAGAAACACAAATCCCTACCGGACCCACCCACCCACCACTCCGCTTCCTCCTCCATCTCCAACATCGACAAGAACAACACTAGCAGCCGTCGCCTTTCGCTCGTCAGCCGGTCCAGCTCCGCCAACTCTGCCGCTTCAGATCGGTTCTCACCAGTTCCGGGTGCAGACGAGGAAGACCTCCCAGTGCCTTCGTTTCGGAGGTTGCTGGCCTTGAATCTCCCTGAGTGGAAGCAGGCGAGCATGGGGTGCATTGGGGCAGTTCTGTTTGGGGCGATCCAACCATTGTATGCATTTTCGCTAGGGTCCATGGTGTCGGTTTACTTTTTGACAAGTCACGATGAGATTAAGGAGAAGACGAGGAACTATGCTCTGTGTTTCGTTGGACTTGCAGTATTTTCTTTGGTCATAAACATTGTCCAACATTATAACTTTGCGTACATGGGAGAGTATCTGACCAAAAGGGTTAGGGAGATGATGTTGTCCAAGATCCTTACTTTTGAAATTGGGTGGTTTGATCAAGATGAGCACTCCAGTGGTGCGATTTGCTCCAGATTATCCAAAGATGCCAATGTGGTAAGCATTTCAATACAATTGGCTCTATCTTTTAGTCCTATTTAGATTTATAAATTTTAAAATGTCTATTTTATTCTATAATAAAAAATTTGTAGCTCCATTAAACATCATAACTTTTTTTGGGTAGGTGCGATCCTTGGTGGGTGATAGAATGGCACTTGTTGTGCAAACGATTTCAGCAGTAATCATAGCTTTCACAATGGGACTGGTGATCGCATGGAGGCTAGCCCTCGTCATGATTGCAGTCCAACCGCTCGTCATCATCTGCTTCTACACTAGGCGAGTCCTTCTGAAGAACATGTCTAACAAGGCCATTAAAGCCCAAGAACAGAGCGGCAAACTTGCGGCCGAGGCAGTCTCCAACGTCCGCACCATCACCGCCTTCTCTTCCCAAGAACGGATCATGAAGATGCTGGAGCAGGCCCAAGAAGGCCCACGAAGAGAGAGCATTAAGCAGTCATGGTATGCTGGAATTGGGTTGGGCTGCTCCCAGAGTCTCACCACCTGCT